TGACATGCTGGTCAGGAGTCTGTTGTGCTTCTGGAGTGCATCTGGAAATTTTGTCTGAGCAGCTGCACCTCTGCTATGCTGATGGTACACATTTATTGTTTTATATTTGTTTATTATTTATTAATTTGTTTCTGAAGAATATACTGGAAGGTATGTGGGCCAGCTGGCCTCATGGGACAAAGATGCTAAGCAGATACTTGCCCCCTGTTGTTGGCAAGAAAGAAAGAAAGAAAGAAAGAGGGAATAACAGCAAGCCATGAGTCAGAAACAACTTGAAGGCACACAACAACAAGAACAACAAGAACTACAACAACAGCCACCCCCTTCCCAGGTCTCAGGATTTTTAAGATGGAGCTCTTCTGGAAAGGCCTCTCTCAAATAATGATGGCTGACTGGGTGGCAAGCCAGTGGCTTTGGCTTCTGCCCAGAACTTGGATGCCTTCCTCAGGAGATCAGGAGGGGACCAACTGCCTCAGTGGATCCTACACTCAGCAATTCTCCAGTTTCCAATTTACATATCTATTTCAACCCATATCTTTGGTCTTATTTCCAAAAATAAAGAAATGCTAAGCCTAACAGCTGAAAGGGAAGTCAAGGCAACTGATGAGTTTACAAATTCATGTTTGCATGATAATATTACATGCAATGGGCCTCACTGCTGTCTTTAACAGCTGACTCCATTTAATCATGAGAAGGAGAGGCAAAAAGCTTCTCCATTTATATATTCTCAGAAAACTCATGTATTTTAATTTGTTTCACTCCCTCAATGATTGTTTGTTGAATATGCATGACGTTGCCTTCCAGCAAATAGGCAGTACTTCATTTTAGAACACATTGCATTTAGAAAGCAGAAATCAAAACAGTCTTCCTTCTTGGAGCTGGATTGAAAGCTATTCTATACATTACACAGAAAGAAGAGATCCAGTTTTAGCCTGTACTACTTCAGACACCTGGGTAGGTATTGTAATGCTGAATACTCCACCAAGTAGAAAGCTTCCCTTGAATTTAGTTGAACTGTCACTTCAGGCACAGGTCTATGCATATTACTCTGGTGTGCAACTTTCCTGCTTTGAAATGTTTGTGTGTATGTGTGGGGGGGTCAAGACATTAAAAAAGATGAATCCTCATTTCTATCTACAGTAGTACAGTCCAGAATTCTACTGTCATACTGTCTACGATTTCATTTTGCACAATGTGCCTGATGATTCATCCAGTCTTCCTTGTCCTTCTTCAAGAGGGAAAAATTGCACTTCTTGGGCCTGAATTATGGTTCCCAGAATTTAGGGTCTGACCAGTTCACTGTAAGGGAGAAATCTCAGTTTCCTCATTTTGTTAGACTTGGTTTTTAAAAAAATTGAGTTAGATATTCTGTACAGTCATGGCTGATGCTCAATTTATTGTGCTTATTGATATTACCAGGGCTGTCCCCTTGTAACATTGCTAGGTCCCTTCCCTATGTCATCACCATAGGGTGATGCCCTTGAAATCTCAGGTTCTGAGATTACCTTGATCTAGCAACCCTAGCCTGCATTCATATGAGAGAAGGCATAGAGCACTCTTATATATGGTTGGGTTGAACATCTGAACCATCAAAAACATGGCTGATGGGCAAGGGAAGAGAGACTCTCTTATTTTGCTGTTGAAATTGGAAGGGTTGGGATTTATGGACAAAGGAGAGGATGAAGTGTACCAGAGAATCTTCTCCCCCCCCCCCAAAAAAAAGCA